TATATATTATTGATACGTATACACAACAAAAATGAAAAAGTTCTAGATTTTTCTATTTTCAGACAATGAATTTGGTCTCGCCCGAAAATAGGAGGGCAACTGATATATCTCAACAAATCTCCATTATATGGCACAAATCTCGAGACATTTACACAAACCTCAGAGTATTTTTGAACAAGAAACATTCAAATTTTAATTAAGAGTCATCAATAAGTTCGATTTTAACAAATTTATGGTCAAACTGACCGGCTCGATGAGACACATCTAATGATATCAACTTTAGTCAAATTCATGTCAAATCAAGCTCAGATCAAGTCATTAAATCACTATTAGAAGATTTCTGAATAAATTTTGCAATGTCAAACGGATGTTGAATCTAACAAGTTCATAGTCGAATCGAGCGTCTCGACAAGATGAATCCAATGAGTTCGAGATTGCAATACATTTTTTTTTGTTCTCCTCTCGTTCTTTATCTTGCACCTATTTTGCTACTTGCTCTTGTATTTCTTTACAATATAACAAAATAGGATGTGTCATAACACCCCCTCGCCTTCAAAAGTAACATTGTCCTCTAGGTTGAGGGCTGGATATGTTCGACGTAGAGAGCTAAACATATCCAAAATTGTGTATTGCACTACAGTGTTTGTCCACTTCAATAACACTTGAGGCTGGTCCTCACCTCTATATTTGGATATTATAGAAGTTAAAATAGCTTCTGGAACTAACAAAGGTCGATTGTTCCAAATAAAGTTTGGTAGAAAAGTGCACTGTGTTGTTTTGTGTTGTGAGATATGTACTTCCTGACATAGAAATGAGACGAAAAAGAACACAAGCAAACACAGATCGTTTACGTGGTTCGATCCAACTGGATCTACGTCCACGGGAGGGAATCAATCAAATATTTCACTAAGGCAAAAGAAATGGAGAATACATAGCTTATACATAGAGATGAGCCCTCATCTTCCTTATATGGCCTCCCTCTCAAGCGACACCTTAATACAAGGCCTCAAGATGCTCTCCTCCTCTAACTCTATAGCTATTCTCTCCTCCTTTGTGGTAGCTTAAGATCTCTTCTCCCTTGCTCTCCTAAGCCTCACACCCTCTCTATTTATAGAAGCAAGAGAGTGGTAGGTGGGAGGTAGGTGGCCGGTAGGTGAGCGGTAGGTGAGATGTGGTAGGTGGCGGTGCCATATTACAAAATTATCCTTTTACCTTAGTTTATTAATTGGGGGTCAAAATAACAAAAACAATTATCCGTATTATCAAGAATCCCGCGCATCATGACAGGACCAAGCATATTGACGTTGCTAGCCACTCCATATTTGAAAAGGTGAATGGGAGATTTATACAACTAAGCTACATCCCGACACAAAAAGTTGTTGATGTCTTCACTAAAGCTCTTCCTTTAAGCACCTTCTCAAAGTTCAATATCAAGCTTGATCTTTACAATATCTACAACCCTGCTTGAGGGGGTGTAGAAATCTGAGAAGGTCCTGGAGGAAATTTGAGAAAATCCTCAAGGAAATCTGAAAATATCTTGGAGGATTTGATTGGTACAACTTAAGAAACCCTTGATTAGTCCCCGACAGAATATATCATCGATTTTTATATGAGAGAAGTGTCAGAATAGTCCCGACTCTTTCCAGGAGGTCATTTTAGTCCAAGCGTATATCAAAATAACAATTTAGTCCCGAGACTTTTAAAAGATTCTAAGGACTAATTTGACACTTTAATAGAGGACTAAAATAATCGTATATAAATAGTCGGGGG